CTCTCGAATAAAGGCGGGGGCTCTAAGGAGGACCTTCATTCTTTTGGACCATAGCGGTATCAGCTCGTTCCAGGCCGCCCAGCAGCATCTGCTGCGTCAAGACGTGCATTCTGCAAAGGACACGTAGCCACTCCTCAGCGCAGCGACCAGGCCTGCCTCCTCCTTCAGAGAGGGGGGTGGGGTTGGCGGAGAGGGCTCTTTGGTGGTTGGTAATTGCGAGGGTCAGAGTCCGAAAAGCCCGGGTCATGAGTGCCGGTATCGTCTGTGGCGCTGGGGGTGCTTCGGGAAGCCGTGGCTTGGACAGAGGGGGGTCTGCGAGCCCGCCGGGCTGGCTCAGTTTCAAACTGAGCTAGGCTTGAAGACCACCTCTGCAGCCTTTGGAGTCTCCAACACAGACATGAGATGCATGCTGGGAGGCCTCGGCTTAGATGCTTTGGGACCCACGCCCTCCACTATGCCTGATGTCGGGCTTGGTCGCTTGGTTGCAGACCTGTCGTCAGCTCGTGCGGCGATCTGGTGGCCAGAGGTCGACGGCTGGGCCGGGCAGGGCCCCTGGGCTGGCGTAGCGGAGGAGGTCACGGCCGAAGAGAGCTGGTCCAGCAGAAAGGAGTTCCTGGGTGGACTTTTGATCACACTTTGGGCGATCAAAGAAACCACGCACATGAAAAGATGACATGCTGGCCACAAGAACTTTTCATGGCCAAACTGTTTCTGGTATTATCAAACATATGAGAATTTTGCACACGCAAGGTGGAAAATAACCTTTTCGAAAGATGGTGGAACAACCGGCTGAATCTCGAGAAGGAGCCATCTCGCTTGAGCCAAGCATCATCAGCATCATAGGGGGGGGGCCGGGCGATGCAACCATAAAAATATTGTAAAAAACTATTTAAGAATATGTGTTGATCTGGGAGGGCCTGTTGTAGGGATTTGGATTAGAGCTTACGGTTGAGGATAGCTTACGGTTGAGGATAACTTGGGATATTCAGGGCTCAGTGGGGGTATAAGGCAATTTGGGACATAAGTGAAAGGGTGTTTGCGGCACCAGGATTTCAGTACCTTGTAAAATAGAAGATTTCATCATGAATACAATATTGGGGCAAACCCACTAGCTGAAGCCCTTGCCCTTAGAAGGGGATATGATCTGATGGGACTTGATAGTAGGGCTACTGCCTTGACCCAAGACATTCGGGGATTTGGGGGGATTATCCCTACATTAATTCTCAAATCCCTCAAACCCCAAACCCTCCATACATCCTGAACCCTAATCTTCAAACCTTTCTATTCTTTACGTATAGGGTAGTATAGGGGTTTCCGTTATCTGTAGGAGAACTAAGCCCGAAAAGATTAGATCCCTATCCTTCCCTTTAAGCCTACCACCTCTACATCAACTTCGTCCAGTCGGCCGCAACAGCCGCAGACTCATTTTTCGGCCTTGCGTTTCTTTAAGAAAGTGCCGGGCACACGCAGCAGGTACCTTTGAAGTAACCTCTTGCATGATGTACGGGGATCGGTTTGTCTAAGAACCCTCATCAAACGTTTATTGCAATCTTCGTCGACCCAAGTGCTATATGCAGCCGGGTTTAGGAGAGATTGAGGTTTGAACTTCACCATATGGTGAAGAATATGAAATTTGGGACGCAATCTGTACAAACGTTTCCTTTGACTCAACGCTAAGTTGGCCAGCGCCATGTACTCCCTCAGGAACACCATGCCGAACACTTCTTTGTTCTCTTGTTCTTCCTCACTCAAGTACCGACCGCCATTCGTAAGCAGCGAAATGACATGATCAGCTGTCCACAGACACGAGCAAAGGGAGTTTGGTAAGGCATCAGAAAAGACATGGCTAAGCTGAAGCACCCACTTGAGTGTCACATAGGTATCGTAGCCGCTGGATTTGAGTTCAGGAAATGTCTTCCCAGTCCATCCCAGCTTTGTTTTGCTCAATTTGTGGAGCTTCAGGGGCAACTTCTGAGATCTCGCAAATCGTTTGAGGCTCATTGTTGCACTGTGCAAACGTTCTTGTTGATTAGCACCCTGAAAAATGTCAGTCTCCTTGATCATAAAGACAATGGCCGAGCCTGCCAGGTCCCGGCCGACTCCTAGGTGCCATACGTGAAGGATATCTGGCATAACCATACGCAAATCATATCCTTTGAGGCCACTGTACGCAGGTGCAATTGTCCATGGCTCATCAGTGTAAAGCGTTCTCCAGAATGGGGCCGAATCATCCAAATTTGTACAAGCATAATCCATAGACTCCAGTCCTTTCGTGGCCCGGCAAATCCAGCAGAACTTCAGGGTCCCAATTATACAACTTTACATCGAGGGCATGCTACCTTCCTAACCCCTATCGCTTTATTCCGTACCCTGAATGTCAAGCCCCTAACGAATTCTGTGAATGACTTTACTATATATATATATACTAATCTCCTTAATTGAACAACCCACCTCATCTTTGTCTGCGTAGCGACTGAAATTCAGCACCTGCTTGATCCCCTTCCAGTCACCCTTGAACCCTGTCACGAAGGCTCGAAGATTCATCACCTTGCAGACTCCAGTTGCGGAGGCTTCAGGGTTTAGGGGTTTAGCGGTTTTCTTTCATGTCGGGATTAAGAGTTGTCTTCCACGGGTAAACAAGGTTTGGGAATTTAGGGGACTTGTGATTTCAAGTTGTTGGTATAGAGGGGTACCGTGAAATCAAGCCAGATAAAGCGTTGGGATATGCAGCCTTGCTTCAGAAGATCCATCTACATCTTTGACGGGTACCCCTTGCTGGCTCAGTCGATTGAAGCTTTGCGTAATGTGGTAACACGCAGCTTGAAGCGTCAAATTTGTACCAGAGTCAGGGTCGATCAAGTAGCGGCTTGCTGGAATAATGCCAATCAAAAAGCGGGAGGCCGCAGAATCCGTCAAGTATGGAGAGAGGTCTGAAGTGAACGTCAAAAACATCCAGGACTCGTTAATAGCATTTGCTTCATCACCTCACATGTAGAGATCAAGAAACACTATATAGAACCATTCCAAAAAACTCCAACCTCAACACAAGGAAACCTTGTTTTGGCTACTTCAGCCCGTTTCCAAAAAAAGCCACGGTTCAATAGAGCGTACATGGAACGGATGATGTACTCCAGCCTGCGCTTCTGACAGGATGGTCCGGAAAGTCCAAGAAGATGCGCTCCCAGATTCGAGAAATCAAGGCCAGATCAGGCACCAAGCTTTCCAAGAATCCAGCATTGATAATACCACTAACCTTTGCTCCAAGACACTAAGCCTAGAAAGCGGTTCCAATTTATCAAAAGGGTTTACAGGGATCAAGGATTGTAGGGGATTAGTTATTCGGTTTGATGATATCAGCCTTGGTGCTAACTCATAAGGCAGCAGGAAAGGCCAGCTTTCGTAGACAACATTTCGGTCATCCGCTGACTTCTGCAAAGGGATATCCATATAGGAAATGTCAGCAGGCAGCGATATGCCCAGACGTTTTGCACGATTGTGTACATCACGTTCTTTCACATTCCTTAGAAGCCAAGGTACCATTTTGGATAAGGGGTTACCAAACAATAAAACACGATATAAATAAATGAAAAAAAACCCAACTTCAGGTAAGCACTTTTGGTCATCAATGAAATGGTTCATTCCGTCAAGAGTCGACAGTAAGTCGCTGTCAACAATCTCGGCTAGAGAGGCCAAGTGCAGCATAGAGCTGTAGCCATGACCCAAGGTTTGCGCTAACCTTAGTTTCCAGGCAACAAATACAATGATCAGTATGGTCATATTAGCCCCGCCATTAACATTCACCTGTCTAAAGCCTGATTGACGAAGAGTGTGTTCGAGCTGAATCAAGCCAGGAATTCCAACACCATCACGTTGAAAATTTAGGGGTCTTATCTTTTAGGGGAAAAGTCTTATACCAGTAGGACGGGGGTGAAAGGTGGGCAGGGTTGAGGCTCAACTCTATTTGTAGGCCAGGGGCTCATCATCCACCATTTGGCGTAATGGTCTGAAACCTGCGTAGGGGCGATGTATGCAAGAACATGTTCTCAGGTAGGTTGTCACCCTCTTGTTGCCAGTCACTCGCACAGAGCTCTTTTTCAGACAGATAGCACAAAACGTGTTTCCCGATCTAGCAGCATTGCCTCACATCACTGCACTGTGCAGCGTTGCTTGCAATAAATCTGCAGCAGGTCTCCCCAAAAGGATTGTTTGCTTCGCCCAGGCCTAGAGCCCCGCAGCACGATAAGGTTGAGTTTTGGACCATCTGGCTTAAAGTGGACATCAATATACTTGATATGAAAGATTTCCTACAAACTCGTTTGATTCGGGAGGACAATTTGTAGGGGTATTTAGGGGTTAAGATTTACATAGGATTATACTATAGGGGTTAAAAGGATTCAAGGCCTATCGGATTTCCCACATATGTGCTCACCCCAATAGTGAAGGTCCAGGCCGTTAAATTCCATGCCAAGTTTCTATATTAGGCTACGTACAGAAGCCGTGCGCACTCAAAGGGCAAAGGCCATGCACCAGGTGAAGCGCTTAAACTACTTTGGCAGGTCACTTTCCCTTCTTGCGCTCAGCCACAACCGCCCGGGCCTGAACCCGCACCAGCTTGCACCCCTCCACCTAAGATGAGCGGTAATTGGGGCAGGTAATTACATCTTGGCAATCCAGGGTTAGGGGGATTGTAGCTCCAAAGCTTTTAAGGGCCTAAACGCATTGTGGATGGGATATTGGCTTTGAGAATTCTACCCAGGGACCACGGATTCGCACTCACCCATGAAATCTCCCAGCTCGGTCTCATCCAGCTCCTCCATGTCGTTGGTCCTTAAGTATGTTACACCCAGCATGTACTCACTATTGCTACCAGTGTTTCCATGGGGATAATTAAAGAGAGATTCGCTTCCAGCTTCTCCTCCAGCTGGACTTTGAAGCTCTCGAGCTTTTCGCGTAGATCGTGCTTCTTCGGCAAGTCAAAGGCTATTGCCGTGCTTGTCAGCTCTTTCTTGAGTTCCTTCCCTTAGATGGTAGTACACATGTCAATTATTGTTACGCATAAATGGGAACTGGCGGGTACTACTGCTGGCGAGGAACGGACATCATCTTGCAACTCTTGAACGGTCTTGGGGGCCATCTGGGTTGCCTTTGCTTTGGTTTTTCCTTTGGCCTTGGCTTTGCCTGACATTTGGGTACGCGCTGTACACACAGAATTCAGAGCAACCCCCAGAACCCTAAACCCTAAACCCGTGCCTGTGGCTTTGGTCGTGCCAGTGGGGTTGTTCCGGAGGTCGTTCAAAACACCCAACCCTTCAGCCGTGGCCTTGTCTGCAACCTTCACCCGCCCAGAACTCTCGGATGAGGCCCCACCCAGGAGGGACTCGGCCATGTCGGCATCCGCGCGTACCGCAACATCTGTCTGAAGCACCTGCTTCCGGGAATCACATTCGCTCTTCTTGCCCCCGGTGCGGGCCCAATAGAGGGTGCTGCAAGGATCGTCCGGCGCGTCCTCATCCTCTTCGCCGCCTTTGCGGACCAGTGCTTCGATTTTCGCCCTGGCAACCCCAAAAAATGTTGCGTTAGAACACGCGTGTAGCTACTACATGACCTGACGGCGCACACTGAGGCAAGCACGCAGAAAATCCACGTGACACCATTTCGTATATGGTGAGCTGTTCCCAATCTTTGCTTTTGTTGGTGGCCGTTTCTCTGATCAGCTTCATCGTGCTCTCTGTGGCATCGAAGGATTTCTCGTTCTGAAGCCATTCCCGAAAGACTCGCAGTTTGTCCTAGCAAATCATAGGCACTGCACCTATCACCTATGTAATATAAGCTTCCCGTGACCAGTCAACCCAGCCTCACGGCACGAGTCCCAAAGCTTTGCAATCTCGGGCCACTTAGCACGCGCGTCCTCACACTCAAAGCGCCTCGTCATTTTCATCCATGCCGTTCGGTGGCTTGTGCTGTTGGCCTTTGCATACTGGCTGGGTGGCGGCGGTGGCGCCTCCGCCACTTCATCATCCTTCGGCTCATCTTTCACCTCATCATTCATCTGCGCATCAAGCTCCGATTCGAGCTCGGCCTGGAGGTCATCATCACCATCGCAAGCTTTCTCGGGGGGGGGTGCAACAGAACGTTTCAGGATAGAAGCCAGCGCCGGCTTCTTAGCAGATGCTTCTTCCTCAGGCTTGGGGGGCAACCATGCCTTCCTGGCAGCCATTTCCTTGCCTGTGAGGGGACTCTCCTTGGTATCATCCTCAGGGGCCTTCTCAGCCACAGCTAGCTGCACCTTCTTCTTCTTGCGCTGCATGAGACAGTCTAGCAACACCTGCGAAACACTGTCGTCCAACCTCAGTCGCAGAATCAACTTGCGCCTCACACATATAAGTCACAAAGCATCACTTTAACTCAGGAAAGTAGCTCATCCAGCAAGTCGTCTACAGAAGGAGAATTCACCTCCGAGCGCGGCCGACCGCTGTAAGCCATCTCATCGGCTTGCTTCAAGCCCTGGATCAAAGTCTTGCATGACCTAGGATATCACGCGCTAAGGGTTATCAAGCCAGCAGATCCTGCAGCTATACGTGCCAAACAAGGAGCTGCATAGAGTCCACGCGCCGAACCTTGCTCGCCTCCTTGGGCTCTGACTCCGCATCATCAAACTTGCGCGCCAAGCTCTTAACTGGAGTAACCTTAGATGTGCCATCAGGACATGGGGCCACGGTATATGGGATGGGAATAGAAGTCTTTTTGCATTGAGGGGACAAGCGGCGAGGTAGCCGGCTCGGGCGCCACCTGATCCTTCCCTTCCTGGCGATCCGCCCCTTCCTCATCCCCTTCCTCGTCCTCATCCCCATCCTCATCCCCATCCTCATCCTCATCCTCACCGTCATCTTCATTCTCCTCCTCATCATCCTGGGGATCTTCTACCCTAGGGGCTGGCGCAGGCGTCTTGGCCTCTGGCTGCCTTGCAACGCTTTGCACGGTGATATGGCTGGGAGCTGGCCCCAAAACCTTCTCAAGGGCATGCTTGATTGTTGCTGGGCTTTCAGCGTAATCCTTCAAGATCTTGTCCAGTACCTCCTCCCATCGGTCCCAGGAAACCATCATATCGAGGCCTGCGTCCCAAAACTCCAGCACATAATCATCCTCCTCACTGTTCCCTGCGGGTGCTGCGGGTGCTGCGGGTGCTTTGGGCTTGGCTTTGCTTTTCTCAGCCTTGGCCTTGGGAACCTTGGGGGGCCCTCTTTTTTCGCACCGGCTTTTGGCTTGGCCTTGTCTTCAGCAGACTTGTCCGCAGGCGCGGTCTTTCCGCTCACGCGGGTGGCAGGCTTCGCTGCACTTTTGATAGGCTTGATGACGCCTTTCCCCTGAAGAGCTTCCATGACACGTGCATAGTCTGCTTTCTGGTCTGCAGTCAAGGGGGGGGGCGGCATGTTGGCTGGGAACCCTGCCTACAGCTCCAACTCCTGTAATCCAGCAGTTGCAGCTCGAAACGAAGTCAAAAAATGGGTCTGCGTGAATTCACGTGATTCACGGCGTAGGGCGATCAAGTTCCGTCATTTCACGGTCAAGTTCCGGTTTTTCACGCGAAACTTTTCTGCGGCCCCTGAAGCATGCTTTGCGTGAATCTAGCAAATTAGCCCCTGAAAAGGGAATTGAGGCTACCTTGCGGATCAGTTTCCCAGAAGGCCCAGCTTTTTCAAGGTCTGGTCCTTGAATGATGATTTCAGGGCAAAGATGGTTCAAACTGGCGTATGAGGCTGTATATAGTGCAAGCAAGAGTCCCAGTTACCCGGCGCATCAACGTGTTTGCAATCGAGATAGGTGATGACAGGCTCCATGTCTGCCTTAAGTTTCAAAGACACGTGACACCCTAACCGGAGACGGGCCATACCCCTTAATCTTTAGCTGAGTAGCATCTGTCCAGGCATCAAAGTCACGAAGCGTATCAGAATCGAAAAAATGTTCGAGGAAGAGCTCGTGATCG